TCCCTCTCTCCTCATTTGCCCATCTCCCTTCCTCCCACTCCTCTTCCTCCATCAGCTCCTCAAACATGTACATGAAGGAAACTCTCCACCATCAAAAACAGAGTAGAGGGAAGTTGGTTCCCTGCTGTTTATTGAATGAATGAAGCTCTGCAGACATCTATTATAACTGGTAATTTATATCTGCTCTTACTAAAGTTCAGAAGTGCTGTCAAAAGTATCCAGTGGCCGCTGCATCCTGGAACCAGAGACTGACTTTCAGACTTCAGGGCAAAGTCACATTGTCTAGAGGAACTAATAATGGCTGCTTTTCCTCTGACCTTAGAGTGGTGCTTACTGGACTTAGGCCCCAGCGCAGACATCTTCCTCTCTAATCTCTTCTTTTTTTTCTCCCTTCCTCATTCAATCTATTTATTCCTCCTAAAATCAACAGCCTGATAGAGCAAATTAAGGCTTGCTTGCTCACAGAACATCTGTGCTGACACTGAGCGGTCACTGAGGGTGTGTAGGGCAGAGACCCAACATAGCAAGAAGGGAATCAATCTCCTGGGACTGTTTGTTATATTTTTTCTTAGTTCTCATTCTACAAGCTATCTGTTGGGTCATTGTGATAGGCCCATTCCAGAAAGGTCTTACAGTTATCAGAATCTAGGCCACATTAGAAAAAGACTACCTGCTACTCCTGCTTTTTTTTTTTTTTTTTTTTGCCTCTGAGGTTAATGTCTAAGCAGGAGAGGAGAGGGCTTATTTGAAAACAGGTTTTTCCATGTGATTAATGGGATCTTTAAAATGTCAAGTAGAGCCATCAATTTAACTTATTCACAAATTACATCTGGTCCTAATTCATATCCCACTCCTGTGGCCGTGACCTTGACATGCAGTATCCACTGTGGTCCTGATCCCAACTCTATGGTGTGGGCTTTAAGATCCCGATGTTATAAACAGGCATCTGAGGATCAGAGAGGTCCAGGATCAAATCTGACAGTGACCGACCAGGAGAAGCTTTGCCCTCACCACTGGGCTATATGGATTCAGTGAGTTGCTGTTCTGAAGCCATTTAAGTGTGAGATTCTTCGATGAACGCACCACTCTTGGTAAAGCGCAGTGCAGAAAGAGGGGAAGTCATGGATTGTGTGTGCACTCCGCTTGCCTGAAGGATAAAGCACAGCCAGATGGGTGCTGTAGATATGGAGTCTCCATGAAATAGAAAGCCCATCCTGCTTCCTCCTGCAGCCAAAGGCTGCCAGGCCTGGCAGCTGGGCTTTCTTATGTACCAGAGGGCCCTAACCTGAGGAAGTCAACCTGGTTCTGTTCATAAGGAAGAGTGGAGGTTGGGAAGGGAATCCAAGTCAAAGTACCAGTGGTGGAGAAGGAGGAGAGGAGGAGGATAGTTCACATCAGGTGAACAAAACAAAAACAAAAGTCGGTGTTTCTTCTGGCCAAAGACGCTCATTTGTTAAGAGGAAGAAAGCACACAGGGGCCGGAAGTCACTGTCATTCATCAGCAGAGGCAACAACATCTGAGGCCAGAGGAAGGGCAAGGCCTTAAGGCCCAGATAGCCTTTGTGGGACAAATAACAACCCCTGGGCAAAGGAGGAAGCCCGTAAATCAGGAAGAGGGTACTGTGGTGAGCAGGCCTTGCCAAAGCTGGCAGAATCTGTCTGGAGCCTTGTGAGTGCCGAAAACCTTGCAGTCCTGCAGCAGCTACGCATTCGGCTCACCCAACTCCAGCACACAGAGCCAGTGTGTGCTTTGACTGTCAGCCGTAGTGGTTTGCATGACACTGATGGTATCATTAAAAAATTGATTTATAAAACAATAGCAACATATTGCAAAAGACCAAATCATGTCCATAGGCAGAAAGTACAACACATTTCCACATTACCAACGGTGTGACAAAGTAAAACGGATAGGCTTACTGAAGAAACGATCACTTTGAGGGGTGTAAACACAGAACAAAACCGGTCTGAGATTCTCCTCGCCTCTGTGGTGGTAAGCCCAGTGGGGTCAGCTGATCTGCATACAAAGTGGAGTGAAGTTTGAACCCCAATATGAAGACTTTGGAGCCTTCACAGATTTAATCAATGAGAATTGAAGCGAATCTCGAGATAGATGCTGTTGGAGGGACATGTGTATTCCAGAGGTTTCTGTCTGTGTATAGTCTTTGCAGATACCAGTACTCTATCACCTAAACTTTCCCTGGTCACATGGGTAATAACTGAAGATATTTAATAGCTTCTAAATTTATTGATATTTCATGACTTTGTTTCACAAATCTCATCTGTCATTCATAAAGCTAAAAAGTTATTTTCTCCTCATTTAAGCATAAAATAAGTATAGTCACAACTATGTGTGTGCCTATGCATATATGTACATGCGTGAGTGCATGCATGCATATGTATGTGGGTGTGTATGTGTATGTGTGTATGTGTGTGTGGTGTTAGGGCTTGAACCTAGGCTCTTGTACATACTAGAGAAGTTCTCTACCATTGAGCTATACCTACTTATTCTACTTTTTATATTAAGAATAGGTCCCCCAGTAAATTGTCCAGTCAGACTTTGAACTTGCTCTTTGGCCCAGGCAGTCTATGAGTTTATAACCCCCCTGCCTCAGCCCCCTATCCCCATCCCCAATAGCTAGGATTACTGACCTTGTACAATTTTCTATTTGTTTCTCTGTCAAGGAGAAAGGAGAAGAGGGGAGGACTAGAGGGAGGGAAGGGAATGTCCCACACACAGCTTGTCCCTTTGACTCCACTCACCCCTCTGTGGTCGGTGGTAACTCCCCTGGTTTATATTTGGGAATAATAAGACTCAAGGAGATTAAATACTTTCCCCAGAATATAGACTGCAAAGACCACACTCCTCACACTGTGCTCTGACAGCTAGAGAATCCTGCGCTGTGAATTCCGGTTTGTAGCTTATGAGCCACCTGACTTCAGGACTACAAGTGAGTGTGTTCTGCCCCTTCTATAACCTTTTTTGCTTTTCCTTTCCAGTCCAAGATCCATGCAGCACGGAGTCTGAGCGAGATCGCCATTGACCTAACAGAAACAGGGACGCTGAAGACCTCGAAGTTGGCCAACATGGGCAGCAAAGGGAAGATCATTAGCGGCAGCAGTGGGAGCCTGCTGTCCTCAGGTAGAGCCTGCACCCGCGACACCTTCCACCCAATGGCTTCTCCCCAGGGAGGTAGGGGACACCGTGCACAGCAGGCCACTGGGCAGGCTGGCCAGACAAGGGCTTTAGTTCCCAGACTAAACTCTGGAGTCACGTGTGGGTCTAAGAAGTTTGCCCAGGTATCCAAAGGGGCAGAGGGAGATTAGAATAACTTCACGGTGTGGGGCAAACTGTAGGCGTCTCTTCTGATACCTCACGGGGCTTTGTAGAATGCCAACTGGCGTTATCGGTAACTATCATCAGGAATATCAACTCCAAAGGCAGAGAGTGGGGTTTCATTGTGTGTTCTTAAGTGAAGGGACCTATACTGGGGAAGGACAAAGGTCAGGATCAAACTGCTACATTCTGCTTCCAATGATACATCTGAGACTTTAAAAGGTCAGTGTGAAAAGGGGATCCTTGCTGTCACAAGAGGTGGCTGAATGACATTGAGTCTCTACCTGGTTCTACTGTCTATTTATGTGAGCATCAGGTAGTTCATTTCACCATTAAAGATTAGAAGAGCCAGATCAAAATTACCTTGGCTTCAAGAGTGGAGATCAAGGAATTGGTTCATTGGTAGAGTGCTTGCTTAGCTCACCTGAGGCTCAGGGTTCAACCCCTGGCCCCTAAATAAATAACAGACGAAGAACGCTATTTGCTTAAATGACAAGATGAGGCACGGGTTTTCAGAGGGCCGAGGGAGAAAAGGACAGCAGTTGTTTGGAAATGTGAGCTCAGTGTGACCAGTCAATGCCTTTTCCAAAGCTGCCTGTTTAAAGTCTGATTAATTTAGGCGGCTGTCCGTTTGCTTTCTGTCGCTGTGATCAACACCACGACCTAAAGCAACCTAGGGGGAGAAGGGTTTATTTCATCTTACACTTCCAGCTGACAGTCCCTTACTGAGGGAAGTCAGAAGAACTCAAGGCAGGAACTGAAATAGAAACCATGGAGAAACACTGCTTCCTGGTTTGCTCTCCCAGGCTCTTATTCAACCAGCTTTCTTATGCAGCCCAGGCCCCTAGGGATGATGGCATCCACGGTGGAATGAGCTCTCCTACACCCATCATCAGTCAGGACAGTCCTGCACAGACCTGGCCACAGGCCAGTCGGACCTGGGCGATCCTGTACTTGAGACTCAGACAGATGACTCTGGGCTGTGTCAAGTTGGCTAGGACAGGAGCCATGTCACCTGGTCTCTGAGAGAGGAAAATAAAAGAAGTCTCTACCTCCTGCCATTGTCGAGGACCAGTTCTAAACCTATACACAGTGACTGCAAACAGCAGTAACCACCAAAAAGGGAAAGGCAGAAGATGAGCTGATACATGTTAGCTTCTGGACTGGTATGGTCCATTCACAGTCAGAGAAGTTAAACTGAGATAGCTGAGGATCGGAGCGTGTACCCTGGGCCTGGAGTGAGAACTGGGTTTGCCCATGGGGCTGGCGGAGTGTGAACTCAGGTCTCCATGTCGGACAGGCTATGATGCTGCTTCTCAGAGACCTAGTAATCTGTTCGTCACATGCTTGTGAGCTCTATATGATATGCTGTATATTGTTTGTCCAAAATGAACTGTCAAAATTATGTAAGCTTCAGGCTCCTAAAAACTGGACCCATCTCTGTCAGACCTCCATGGGGCTGACTCTAACTCTAGCTCTCCCCCTGCCTGGAATTCTTCGAAGCTGTTTCATACAAGAGGTGTGCCAAATGGGCACTACTTCTGAGGCTTAGAAGTTTGCGAAGAAGACTGTGAAAATGTTGTCTTCTTGTATCAAGGCAGATCATTCAAAACCTGCAGGTCTATGTGGAGTTACAGCCCCCTCCAGCCTCCCACTGAACGGGCAAAGCAGAGTCAGATGCAACACCTTGTTTGTCTTTTAGATACGTGCAATGATTGTCTCAATTCCTGTTAAATGGTTTCAGATAAGAGTCTGGATCTGTCCTACCCACCTCCTTATCTAGTTACTGAGAATCCGGTCTTGCTCCACTCTGGATTCTTCCAGCTCAGGGTTGTAGGAGTGCAATATGACCATTGGTTCTCCCCTCGTCCCACAAGGTTCTGCAAGTCTGTGTGAGCCTGCGAATGAGTTTATTTTCTACCAAGTTCCCAGATCCCTCTGCGGCTCTTGGTCCAGGGATTATGTTTTGAAGGCACCTCTTCTTGCTCAGGATAAAGAAACCCAGGCTTCTGCACTTTCAGCTTATGACCTGATCCATCTTCCTGGGCCCCTCATATTCTGGGCAACCTCTAAGGGCACCAAGGCAGAGCAGGTGTAGATGAAGTTCCTAAGGGGAGACTGAGATAAATCACAAGAAGATCTTCCTGCTGAATGCATGCCTACATATAATGTGCAAGCATTGTCCTCTCAAGATGTTGAAGCAACTTTAAAAGGTTATAGTGGCACAGGGTGAGATGTCAACCTCTCTTAGGCCATACAAGTTCGAGCCTGAAAAATGTTTGTGAATGCCTGTTGAAACTCTTTGGGGATCCCCCACGCCCACCTTTATGACTAAGAAAAACAGCTGGGACAATGGAGGGAGGGACCAGAACAGGATGCATGCCATCAGCACACAAAGGGAATTTCTAGGATATATGAATCTGGTCCTCCCTCCCACGGAGGCTACTGCCTACTGCCCCTCACGAGTGCTTGCTGTGGGAGGAGGCAGCCCTCACTTGGGGAAAGCCATTGGTAGCCCTACCTATGACAGACCAGGCTAGTATCCCACTGTAAAGAAATTTAGCCCCTGGTCTAAAAATTGGGGCATCTAGCTGGGCTCCTTCCTTTTGCTTTCTGTCCTCTTGCTTGTAACATGCTCTCGCATGCTTGCTGTTACAGGACAGCTCTGTCTTTTTGTTAACACTTGCCAGACCTTCCCAACTAATGTTCACTCACAAAGGAGACAATGCAGCATCCAATTGCACAAACTGTCTCCTCCTCCCCCCTTTTTATGTGGTATCTAATAAATGTTTTTTAAAAGCATATTGAAAGCCTAGTTAGCACAAGAAAATCCCATGGCCATGTCCATTGTCCAGTACCCAGTAGCAAAGTTGTTGGTAAGGAGTGTTAGAGAATAGCAGTGAGACCCGTGGGTCTCATGGAGTAAGAGCCTCCATGTTTCTGGAATGTGTGGTGTTTCTGGCCTCACATAGAGTTCTCCTGGGAATTCCCACCAGCGTTCTTCCTCACAGAAGCCCCAAGCCTCTAAGGTAAAAGTGATACCACACTGATCATTAGGACTGACATCCAAGCATCTTTCAAACTAGACAGAACATCTCTATCCTGCTGTCAGGTTGACATTCTTCATCATACTGGTGTTAGACCTTTTGAGGTCACCTGTATCGGTCCCTCAGCCCTTTCCAATACTGCCCCTGGGGCAAATGGTGGCCAACCCTTGTTGTTTCCATCCATTTCCCTTCTCCCCGTACCTCAACATTATGCATAAGTGAACCATATAACAATGCTGTCGCATTTCCCTGGTAGAAACATTCATCTCAACTCCTAAGAGATACTAGGCCATGCTTTGATTTTGATCATAGCTTTGGGTCTGCTGTTGGACACAGCCCTCCCCCAAACCTCCGGCATTGCCAAAGGAGTCGGTCGGTGCTGCCAGGGTTTGTTTATACTGGACTGTAGAACCTTGACTGCTGCAAGGACCGCCTTCTGCTGAATGGATGTTTCTGGGCTCAATTGTGCAGGGCTGGCCTGAGTCACAACTAGGAAAGGAGGTAAAATACACAGCATTTGAAACACATGGGCGTCTCTGAAAAGAGCTTGAGTATTGTCTGTGGATACAAAATAAAACAGTTCCAAATCTTTGTAACCTTAAAGGCCGTTTACTACATAAGGATGTGCAAGTGCCTTTGAAATTGCTAGGAAACCCAGCTCTTGGTATCTGGGGCCTCTAATGCTAAATAAATAAAGGAATGCCAATGTTAACCATTACAAAAGTCAGAAATTCATGCCCACCGATGCCCTGAGTCATTAGTGTGAGCGGGGCAGGAGGGGTGATGACTAGCATTTCCAAATGAAGAGGGCACATGGTTCTGTGAGTTTGGGGTCAAGACATTTTACCCAGGAGCTGCCGTGAGGAAACCATAGGCTTAGATCCTGGTGGAGACCCACAGGGTGGTGTCCCCCATCCAGGTCAGAGCTACAGGCCTGTGTTGTGCAGACTCTGCGTGTGTAGGGGTTCAGGAAATCTGCTGATGATCACCGGACAGGGAGAGATGAGAGGGGCACTTAGTCACAGTGACCTGTAAGAGCCTAGCTCTTTCCTCCAAATTTGGAGATGGCTCTGGCTATGGCATTTTGTTCACATGGGGCTTCAAGTAACAAACTGTTAAGATGTTCAAATACAGTGTGAGGTAACAACTATAAATTCAAACCATCCATTAAGTTGAGCTGTTTTTAGAGCTTGTTCTTCCCTTCTCCCTAGCCCGCCTTCTCTCATTTGCCATGAGCTAGGGTATATCTCAGTGGGTAGAACCCTTGCCTAAAGCCCTCAGTCTAATCCCCAGCCCTGAACAAGAAAGAAAAACAGAAGGCCCATCCCAAATCTTTTGCAGGCTCTTCAAAGGGGTCTATTCCCCCTTCCCTTCCCCTATTGCTTGAAATGTTAGAGGGAAGGGGTTGAGGAGAAGACAAACGATACAAAAACAACTGTATTTGTGTCATTGTCGCTGGAGACACATGGCCTTTTCGTAGCTTGTGTGGAAGTGAGAGTGTAGGGTTTGTGGGAGCATTGTTTTAGGGCGCTGTCTTCCCAGGACAGTCAGGACTTCAGTGGGAGTGCAGGGATTGTCGGAGAGTATTTTGCTCTCGGGCTCTTTAAAAGGAATGCCACAGACCCACTTAGGAAATAGCCAGTGTTGTGCAGGGCCCTGTGACTTGCTGTATTAGCCACCAATACTCCTGTGTGTGTGTGTGTGTGTGTGTGTGTGTGTGTGTGTGTGTGTGTGTGTGTTTGCGGGGGAGGGGAGGAA